GTCTCATACCTGACAAACACAACGACGACAGGGAAAGGCACAGAGGCAGCCAGGGAGACAGACTGACCGACAGGGAGACTCACCGAGAGACAGACTGACCGACACACAGACACCCAATCACAGAGAGAGAGAGACTGACCGGCACACAGACACCCAATCACAGAGAGAGACAGACTGACCGACACACGGACACCCAATCACAGAGAGAGACTGACTGACAGACACATGGACACCCAATCACAGACAGAGACAGACTGACCGACACACGGACACCCAATCACAGAGAGAGACAGACTGACAGACACACAGACAGGCTCACGGGGCGAGAGAGACAGACTGACAGACACACAGACAGGCTCACAGGCGAGAGAGAAAGACTGACAGACACACAGACAGGCTCACAGGGTGAGAGAGACAGACTGACAGACACACAGAGAGACAGACCTCCACGAGCCCCTGCAGTATCCTGACGAGGATGACGCAGCTGTAGTGAACCCGGGCAGCCGAGGGGATCAGCATGTTGAGGGTGGAGGTGGCGACTATGGCAAAACCAAACACCCTGAGAGACAGGAGAGAGAGAGAGGAGAGAGACAGGAAAGAAAGAGAGGAGAGAGAGGGGAGAGATTGGAGAGAGAGAGAGGAGAGAGACAGGAGAGAGAGGGGAGAGAGAGGGAGGAGAGAGAGGGGAGAAAGAGAGGAGAGAGAGAGGGACACAGAGAGAGGAGAGAGACAGGAGAGAGAGGGGAGAAAGAGAGGAGAGAGACAGGAGAGAAAGGGGAGAGAGAGGGGAGAAAGAGAGGAGAGAGAGGAGAGAGACAGGAGAGAAAGGGGAGAGAGAGGGGAGAAAGAGAGGAGAGAGAGGGAGACACAGAGAGAGGGGACAGACAGAGAGGAGAGAGACAGGAGAGAGAGGGGGAGAGAGAGAGAGGAGAGAGACAGGAGAGAGAGAGGAGAGAGATGGGAGAGAGAGGGGAGAAAGAGGAGAGACAGGAGAGAGAGGAGAGAGAGGGGAGAGGAGAGAGGGGGACAGAGACAGGAGAGAGGGAGGAGAGAGACGGGGGAGAGAGAGGGAGAGAGGGAGGAGAGAGATGGGGGAGAGAAACAGGGGGAGAGAGAGACAGGAGAGAGAGGGAGGAGAGAGGGACAGAGACAGGAGAGAGAGGGAGGAGAGAAACAGAGAGATAGAGAGAGAGAGATAAGGAAAGAGACATGTATTTTGTGTTCTGTCCTTTGAACAGTTCAGCTATGGAGAGGATTCTCTGCAAACGCTCTTCTGACTCTGCAGATTGACCCTTGACCTCTGACAAAGGGTGTGAGAGACAGACTAGCGCCCCCTGCTGTGGGACAGGCAGTACTGACAGACAGACAGACAGACAGGACTTACACTTACAGAGAGACAGACACACCTGTTGGCAGCGAACTTCTGGGCGATGAATCCCCCAGGGATCTGCGTGACGATGTACCCCCAGAAGAACGAGCCATGAATCATCCCCACGGTCTCGGGGTCCCAGGAGAACTGGGCTTTCTGAGACGGAGCAGGGAGAGAGAGAGGGAATCGGTGAGAAACAGAGACAGAGGTGCA